TCACCTCTATTCCCTTCTCTTCATTTCTCATAACTTGATCCTTACTCAGGCCGACATCTGTGCAGACAAGTAGGACTTTAAGAAAATCCTAGGAGCTCTTTCTGGATTGCAATGCAAAGGGTCCACTGAGCGTGAATACCATCACCCCCACCCAGCAAAAAAGGTTGCACCTAAACTCAGCTCCTACTGGCCCCCCAGTTGCTTCCCCTGAGAAAGACAAGCTGCAGTTTCCCACATTACCTGAAGTCCATAAGTTCTAGGCTTTCCAAATAACCCTGCAAATGCCTGACATTACAATGAGACTGCTAAACCCAAAGTAGTCTTCTTATCCCTAGTCCTAGGATCGTTCTCACACTTGCCCCATGAAGAAGGAGAAGGAGAAGGAGAAGGAGAAGGAGAAGGAGAAGGAGAAGGAGAAGAAGAAGAAGAAGAAGAAGAAGAAGAAGAAGAAGAAGAAGGCCATAGAATGACCATATTGCTTTGATGGGGGACACTGTGCTGGAACAGGGACTTAATGTGCAACTCACCAATTTGGGTTCCAAAATGCTTTTCTGCAGAATAATGATGGACTCTGCCTCTCACCTGATGGACCCTGCCTTTCACCTGTGACTTCAGAGAGCAGCAAGGGATGCCCCTGTCTTAGCTCTTCTCACATCTCCCCAGACTTCTGTTTATAAATCTCTCATCCATACTTCACATTAAAGGCAACTACCTAAAACAGATCAGATCAATTACTTCCTGCCTAAGACTTTCCTTTGTAGAACAAAGCCCAAATTTCTCAGTATGGCGAACAAAGTCCTCAACCTTCTAGCTCCAACTTTCCCCACTCATTTTCTGCCCCTCCATCCACAGAGACACACAGACACACACACTTCACATACACACATCCTTCCACTATCCTACACCTTTCCCACCACTGCACAAAACACAAAATGTACTCAGAGGTCTGTGTACTTGTCGTTGACAAAAATAATCACACTGCCACCTTGTAACACAAATTGACAGAGAACACAAATGCTCCCTCCCCCAGGAAGCCCTCCCCAATCTTCTTGGGAGGCTTGGCCCCTGCCCCTCTTCTCTCACAAGACTACTGTATTATATCTAGACTTAATCCAGAGACTGTTCCCTTCTGAGCTTTGCTTCCCTTCACCTAGCAGAGAGCCTAGCACATAATGGGCACTCTGAATATTTGTTGAAGAAATAAACTAATGTATAAATAAACAAGCTCATCACCAGGAGGCATTGTCAATGAGCCCTTTTGTCTGTCTTCAGTGAAGTCACTTTTTCAGCCACCTGCAAGCTGCTATTATTTGTTCTTTAAAGTGTTTCACCAAGGATGAATCTGGAAGTCTCTTTCCTACTCTGTAAGATTTTTGTTGTTGGTGTTTGTTTGTTTGTTGTTGTTGTTGTTTTGGTGGTGATGATGAGTGAACCCAGGACTGCGGGTATATTAGGCAAGCACTCTACCAACTGAGCTATTTCCCCTTCCTTCTCTGTAAGTTTTATATGTAAATCATCTAAAGCAAAATTATAATGTGCAATGAGTTTTGAAAAACTCTCGACAGCTCAATTTTAGCCCTCAATTTGCACGTTCCTTAAAATTTACTTTAAACAATAGTATCAACGCTTTATAGGACACCAAATATTAAATTAATATTAATGGTAATAACAATAATAATTTCCTTTTTGTTTTTTCTCTATTTTCCATATTTTTATTAGTGCATTATAGTTGTACATAATGGTGTAATAATTTCCTTTTAAGTAATTGACTGATGTCAAGAAGTAGCCAAACCAGTGACATGCAGTCAGAAATTTATATTTTTCATCAGAAAAACAATTCACTACCAATGACAAATAACAGTAGGGCCACTAAAACTACCTGTCATGCATCTAATGAAGACAGATTCTCTGGCTACCACATATAATATGTAATATCCAAAAGCGCTGCTGTAATTCACAGCTAATTAGTGTCTTGCCGTTATGAGAGGTGTCATGGCCTAACTCTCTTTTCCGATCTACTCAGACCTCACAAGAGCCGACAGTCACGCAAGGATCACAACAACCCAATTAGCACCCACCCCAACCTTGGGCTGCTGCTTCTCAGAGCCACCCCAGCATCAATAAATCATGCTCTCTCATGAAGCTCTTCCCTGACAGCTGCAAGCCAGTGCTGCCCAAGGAATAAAGACAATACTTCTAAGGAAAACTCATATGGGAAAGATGGAGATAGAAAAGGGATATTATTTGCCTGCCTTTACCTGCACAGCAGTCAGCAAAATTGAAGACCATCAATTCTGACTGATTAAGGAGACAACTGCACTAAGAAATAAATCCATGAGCGGTACATCTGAAGATTTTTAGTGATAATCAACAGTCAGCAATTGGATTGTTTGTTTATTTAATGTGGATATACTGAAGACCTTTTTCTTTCCATTCCCCCCCCACACACACATAGCCTTCCCTCTGGCTAATAAGAAAATTTTCCTTTCAGTAGAACATAATAGGATGCATTTACTTTATCTCCTAGTGAATACACGGCAAAAGATAATTGGTTTGAAAGACTCTAAATTGTTTGACTTCATTGAAAAAGAATCTATAATGATATGCTGGTCTCTGAGCAAGGCCTACAAAGCTTCCTAAATCCATAAGCAAGCTCTAGAGTATTCACAGCACACAACAGCCAATATCCTCGTAATTTTGTTCTAAGCCTGTAAATCTGTTTTGCTCCATAATATTCTTTTTAGAGAATGTTCTGAGCCATTGCTATAGCCTAAATGTTATTCAAAGATAAAATCACGTAATTCAGCTGTTGCTGTTATTTTTCTCATGGAGATATTAGTCTTCTGTATTTTTAATGCTGATCTGAAACATTTCACCTAGCCGTAAATGACTACTGCCTAATTTAATATATAAATATTGTCAAACTCAAATAAACTAACATGAATGCATTTAAACAAGGAATTCTCATGTATCTCTTCTTATTAAGCATAGAGACTTCAAAAAGATTCAGTTTTCTTCATCCATACATAGTATGCTCATGAAAATACTTAAATATTCAAGTATTTATCTACAAGAATCTTCACTATATCATATTTTATAATAGCAAAATCACTGAAAATAACAAAATGTGCAAAACTTGAAATAGGTCAAATAAAATGATCGTATGCTTATACAGTGGAATGTTATGTAGCTTTTAAAAAAATATTAAAAGGCATGCAAAAATGGTCACAGGATACTGCAAAACAGAATTTAAAATGGAGCCTGGATCCACATTACACATGCACACAAAATTGTGTGTATACATATGCTTATATATGCACATAGACATACATATACATAGATGGACTTTTCCATATTTACAAGATGGTCTCAATTTTGTTTCCTGTGTATGAAGGTGTGAGTGTATATGATGCAGATGGAGTGTAGAAAAAAAGGTTGACAGAAAAAATATTTCAAACACAAAATTTATTTTCAGAAAGTGATATGTTAGATAATTCTTATTTGAGTTGTTTCTGTTTATATAAATTTTTAATTTTTTTATAATCAGAACAATGTTATATAAAATATTCATGTCACCTGAATTTGTACAGGTATACATTAGTGTGAAGTCCCAACCAGGTAGGGTATTATTCTGAGCTCATAATGAAGTATTTTGATTACTGCCCTGGGTATAAGCAACTTTTAAAAGGTTAGGGACATGTTAAACTTGGACACATTTCAAGAATGATAATCAGAACAGCGTTATCTAACCTCTCATCCATGAAGGTAGGAGTTGAGTCAAATCCACATGATTTTGAAAAATCATATAGATTTAGTATCAGAATAGGCAAAAGGACCCTCTGCAAAATCTGACTCAATAATACCATTCTTGATTTTCTCCAGCTCCAACCCACCTGCTCTAATATTTGGGACCACCAGGTAAGCAGAAAGGTAACAGATGCCAAAAACACATTTCATGACCAGAGTACAGGTTCAAAGTTCCCAACACATGGGGGCTCAGGACCTGCTTCACTGTGATACCATGAAGCTGTCCTGACTCCTAGCTCTGAGCCAGGCAGACACAGTGAGGTATGGGACATCACATGTACTAAGCACTTACTCCAGGTCCGAAGGAATGAAAGGAAGCAAAGTCTCTTCCCCTACAAGGTTTACATCTAGTCAGGAAAATTGAATAAGAGGACAATAACACAAAGGACAGGCTTTTTTCCACTGGAGATCAGGATAAGGCAAGAGGAGAGAAATTTTGATATTTAGAGCTGAACTAGTGTAGAGACTTTAAGAAAAGGCCATTCTGCAACACTGCAACATAAACCTTTAAAGATATTTGAAAGCAAAGACCTGCATGTATCACCTGAACTCTCAAAAGTTCTTTCTCAGGTCTCCTAAGCTTCTGTATTTTCTAGGGTGGAGAAACATGTACTTGACCTTCAGCTGGAAAACTACATTTGATGACATCATACATATCATGAGTTAATTAAATGCATTTGCATTCAGCATTTCAATTCACTTCCTATTTACCAGGCAAAGACAGGTAAAATGCAAATGCATACATATGTGTGTGTTTGTATGTGTTATAATATGTTAAAATTTATACATTACATATACATTATAATGCATATATTATATGTGTGCATATGTGCATATATACAATTATATCATGGCCAAATTAAATTTGAAGACAGTATAGTTTTGTTTCTTGCTTATCATTTCCCTAAAAGGATCCTAGATAATGCTGAAGTGAAAAAACACAGCCAGATTCATGTGCTTACACTTTCATATCTAGAGTACATATATTTGAAACTGTTTATAGAGACTACTAGCCATAGGAAAATTTTTGTGTTAATTTTTATATTACTCCTGAGTAGTTCTGTAGATTTAATTTTGGAGTTATTATGAAGAAAACAAAAGAAGGCAAGTTTAACATGTCCATATCCACACAGCAGGTTCATGAGTGCAGACTCTCAAATTTATATTCCAACTCCACAAAATAATGTCCATACCTGAAAGGGAGAAATCTCCTTTCTGGCTTTCACTCTCTCTGATGAGAAAAGCACCCGTCTGATTTTCTGAATATAATAGTTGCTTTTCTGCATCTGCTCTTTTAATTGCTCCAAAGAACCACCTAAAAAGAGAGAGATGTAAAACCTTAATTAAACATCAACATTCAGTTTTAAAAGCAAGAAACTTAGCAAGAAAGTGTCCTAACATCTGAAACATCTGACACACTAAATAAATTGTTACAAATATAAATAGTGACTTTTGCACTTGAATGATTTTTCAGGACGTCCATAAAAATAAATTATGAAGCAGAAACTTGGGGGATGCCTGCTCCACACCCCTCCTCATCCCTACAATCTGAGATCTTGTTCCTTCTTTCTATCAAAGCCAAAGCCCCTCTATAGTCCTTGTCATGTAAGCCAACATGATCCAGTCTCTAAAATTACTCATCATCACTATCCAAATGTCCACTGCTTACCTAATACCACCTAGATGTTAGGAGGCAAATATTTCAATTAATATTGCAGTGTGAGGGATTAAAAGTATACTTCCCCCAAACATTAATTCCTTTCTTTTCCCATCTCCATTGGGGCCCAACCCCACTAAAATATATGTAAGAGGAATTTATTAATACAAAGGAAACTTTAGTCAATGAAGAGATTATATGAAAAAGCTACTTCTGGCTGAGAAGTACCTTCTTGGTGCCACCTCACCCTTTGTCTTTACCCTCTTATCTTTACCCTTTCAGAAATATAAGAGTTAGATGCAGAGATTCTATTTCAAGCTTTGACTCATGAATGAATCCATTGGCAAGCAGTCACATGCCATGCCTAAATCAAAAAGAGGGGAAAGTGCAATCCACCATTTACCAGAAGACAGAGAACTGGAAACACTGGGGGGAACTAAACCAGTGGATGCCACACTGATTCAGTGTCAGCACCAAATTAACAGTCATAGACTATTATTGGTCCAACAGAAACAATGAAAAACATGGAAAAGTTCCAAAGTAGCAGGTCACAAATTCATAGAAAATACAAATGCCTGTTTCCTACTATTTCAGAAATAAGTCAAGGGAATACTATAACATAATAAAAACTCAAACTGACCCAACATATAGAACAGTGATGAAAGGACAAATTATTCAATAAATGATGCTGATATCATTAATAATCCATAGAGAAATATAGATGCTACCAACAGCTTACACAATAATTTCACATAAGGATCTAATATAAAAGGCAAACTTTAAAACTTTCTAAGGACATTGGACTAGAGCAAAAAGAAAAAGATATACAAACCTTAAAGGAATAGATTAATAATATTTATTGCATCACAATTTAAAACTCCCTCACCAACAAGGTTACTATGGAATAAGATTAAAATACAAGTCACAAACTTGGAGAAAATTTTTCAAAGTATGTAACAAAAATAAGATTAATATTCAGATTATACTGAGATCTAAAACAAAAGACAAAACAGTAGAAAAAAATGGCAAAGTACATAATTGGATAGTTCACAGAAATGGGACACCCAAATAATTAATAAAAATGAAGAAGCACAGTCCTTATCTATGCTAATTAAATATTACATATAAAAACCACAATGAAAAACAATTTCACACTTTTCATGCTGACCAAAATTTAAAATTCTCACATTATCAGATACTGGAGAAAATATGAAATAAGAACTTTATACAGCCATCAAGTGGAGCATGCCTGTAATCCAAACACAGGAGCCTAAGGCATGAAGATCACAAGTTCAAGGCCAGCCTCAGCAATATAGGCTCTCAGCAACTCAGCAAGACCCTGTCTCAAAATTTAAAGATAAATAAATAAAAAGGGCTATGGATGTGGTTCAGTCACAAAGTGCCCCTGAGTTCAATTACCAGTCCAAAAAAAAAAAAAAAAAAAAAACTTTACACAACACTAGTGACAATATAATTTGGTTCAACAAATTTATAGAGCAATATGGCATTACTCAATTTCACTTCCTGACTTATATGGTGAGTGTGCCAAAGGAGAAATATGACAAAAATATTCACTAAAGAACTCAAATATTGAAAAGTTGGACACAATTTTTGTGGTAGAGTGCTTGCCTAGCATGCATGAGGCCCTGGGTTAACTTCCCAGTACCACCAAAAAAAATGAATAAATAAATAAATAATAAATGTTGTTTTCGACATATATAAGCTTAGTTATGGATATTAAGTGTACTTTTACTCAGAAGTTGAAATGCATAAATTGTTCAGAGACAAAAGGAAGTAGAAGAAATTTGCATACCAATATAATATCCTTTGTATAAAGTTTAAGCAAAGACATTTTAAAAAACTATACATGTTTTTATGCATACATGAATGCCTAGTGAAATTTAATAGTTAAAATATTCTTTAAAATCCATTTACAGAAATGACAAAATTTCTTCACACAGTATTTCAAGTGAAGAAGCACCATGGATGAAATACTCCTAATCAGCTCAATGCATTTTCCTCATTCAAAGTGCATTGATTATTCATAAACATTAAAATGCTTGGTCAAAACATAAATATGTAAACCTTTACAAGAATTACAACTTATCTAGAAAATTAAATTCTTTAAATTATAATTTTTATCTCCTATATTTCATTCTCAAGTACAAATATTCCATTATAAGTTTATGTATACACATTATATTAGTATTTTAGATAATCAACCTTATAAATGATGTTTCCATTACCCAACATATATATAAGCAAGCAGTTTTTGTAAACCAAATGATTAAAGATTAAGCAATTTTACTATAAAGAAACTCTATAGTAAGTTTTAAAAATCCTGTCTCAATTTTGGATTTTTGTTTAATAGATGGGTATAATTGCTTTATGGATTCAGTACTGAATCTACAGTAATGATGAAATTGATATAAATATTTGACTGGATGCAGCAGGTCACTTTTTTACTTGGCTGAGCTCCTACCAGGAAGAGAATATAAATAATAAATTGTTTTCTGGATGTATCGGCATCATAATACCATCCTTCATACGCTAAGATGACGCACCTGCTATAGATTGCAATCTTTGGAGCATGTGATGCCACAGAGACTAATGAGAAAACAATAGCTAGTTCCACCCTCTGCACTCGTGAAAACTATTCCTTAATTTGAGGTCTGAGCCATTGGCAGGACTGTCATTCTCTTCAGTTCTACCTTTAAGTGTCCCTGCTGGCCCTGTTGTGAAAGGACATGCATACCGGAGGTTTAGTGGCACATGACAGCCATTTTTGACGCCCTCTTTAACCTGCAGTTCTTATAGGGAGTAAAACAATGAGTACTGAGAAGGGATCTAGATATCATATGAGATATAAATTGCACAGGTGAGCCAAACAGAGCAGTGGTCTTTAAAGTAGAGTTTCTAGACCAGGAGCATCAGCATCACACAGAAATTATTAGAAATGGAAATTCACAGGCCTCATTCCAGACCTACTGAACCAAAAACTCTGGAAGTGGGATTCAGCAATTTGGATTATAACAAGCCTCCCAGGTGGATCTGATGCACATTAAATCTTGAGAACTATTGACCTATAGAAATAGTAAAGAAATTAGATATTTACATAAGACAGATACACACTATTGATATTTCATGAAAATAATCTATTTGCTGTACCATAACAATGCCATGAAGAAGCTATTGATTAATAATAACTAAAAGGATACAATACCTATGATAACTTATATCCCAGGAGAAATAAATGCTTCCATTAGATGAAAACTGAGCAAAAACCCAAGGATGGTGGCACATGCCTATAATTCTAATGAATCAGGAGACTGAGGGAGAGTCACAAGTTGAAGGCCAGCAGCCTGGTCAACTTAGTAAGACCTTGTCTCGACATAAAAATAAAAAGGGCTAGGGATGTATAGCTCAATTTTAAAATGCCCTGGGTTTGATTCTCAGTACCACCACACACACACAAAAAAAGTTAATGCCTATTTGTGGCAAAAGGAATATGTGACTAAAGTCTAAATTTTATTTTTCAAACACTCTATCAAGTATCCACTGTGGGTAAAAGGCTACAACATGACAGAGAAAGATCTTTAAGACATCATTAAATGAAAAGAGTACATTGCAGAGCAATCGGAATAATATAGTCCTATTTATATTTTTAAAACCAATCCAAACTTATATGTGCTTCTTCTCTGAGATATGATAAAAGTGATGACAGAGGACTTTCAGTTCTTACTTTGTGCTCTTCTCTATAATTTGAATGTCTACAGTGAGACGTAGTTGTAGATCACATTATAATTTATTTAAATATAAAAAATTAAGTTATTTAACAAACTCTAGGTGTTGTAAAGGTGTGGACCAGAAAGTCTGGCAATTAGAATTGATGGAGACAAGAAAAATCCCAAAGGAACATGAGAACAGGTAAGCATGGTTGAGCAGCGCAATGATGGGAGAGTCCATGCACCACCAGGGTTCAATTCTGAGTGACTACAGATGGTGTGCCCGTCAACACCTTAGAAAGCAGTGTAGAATAATGGTTAAGAGTGACAGCATCTCACTGGAGATGTTAATTAACCTCCCAACTTCAATTTTCTCATTTGTAGGTGGGAATAACAACCCTCACAGCCTTGTTTTGAGATTAAGAAAAAAATCACATCTGTGTAGAGCTTGATATCTGGACACATTTGTTTTCAACCCATTTTAAGAAAACTAATTTAAAGGGTAAATTATAAATTGTTTTAGACCTGATGAATTTGAGCTCACGATTGAACACGAGTGAATATATAAACATGATCTGTAATTATGTTCATAGTTAGTTCATCCCTGCCTATCGTTCCTGATAATCTGCCACCAGGTGGCAGTAGCCCGTTTTACTAATTCAAAAAGAGGAAGAGGACCTTAATCTGTATTTTACCAAAATGAATAAATAAAGTGAGCTTTAATTTTTTTAAAAAGTAGCATTACCACTTAAATATCAACATTCAAATAATATAGATATCAACCAAATGTATATTTTTTTCTCATGTCTCCCTAAATAAAACAAGGCAGCTGGTCTTCAACTACCATAGACAAATCTTGAAAATAAAAATAAAAACAAGGTCCTAAAACCTATCCCAGAAAAAAATTAAATATATATTTAAATATATATTTCT